CACAAATACCACAACAATATTATTAATCCCATTTTCAGTTCTCTGGCCTAACTCTTCTGCTTGTGATTTCTGTATATATTGCCTCTGTGAAATGTTCTGGGACACTTTCTGCGATTAAAATGTTTAAAAATGCAAGTTTACTGATAACAAGAGCTGCAGCTGCTGGAGTAGGGGGATAACAAAGTGTGGAGCTGGAGAAACACAGCAGGCCAGGCAGCATCAGAGGAACAGGAAAGCTGACGTTTCGGGTCAGGAAATGTCAGCTTTCTTGTTCCTCTAATGCTGCCTGGCCTGCTGTGTTCCTCCAGCTCCACACTTCGTTATCTAAATTTATTGATGGATCTTTTGCTGTACTACAATCTTGACCACAAGATGGCACTGTTGCATTTTGAACGATCCCCTTTTGAGCAACTGAGCAAGCAGTTGTCCAGTGCCACAGTGCAGCAACAGCCAGGTTAAATTAAATAAAAACACATAATACTAGTTGTTGGATTAACATCAGAGAAGGTTTACCAGGATGTTGCCTGGTCTGAAGAGTTTTAGTTATGAGGAGAGGTTAGATAAACTCAGATTGTTTTCACTGGAAAGACGGAGGCTGAGGGACAACCTGATAGAGGATAAAATTATGAGAGGCATAGATAGGGTGCATAGTCTGAAGCTTTTTCTTAGGTTGGAAGGATCAACTACATAAGTGAACAGGGTTCAGAGTGAGAGGGTGAAAGTTTAGGGGAGAAGTGCTGGGAAATCTTTTCACATAGAGGGTAGTGGATGCCTGGAAAGTACTGCCATTGGAAGTAGTGGAAGCGGCCACATTAACAACAATTAAGGCGTATCTTGATAGACACATAAATGTGAAGCGAACAGCCGGATAGAAACTGCAGATGGGCAATATAAGTAGCAGCTCTGAATAAGGCTTAAGAATTGGCACAGGTTTGGTGGGCCAAGCCTGTTCCTGTGCTGTATTGAATTCATTAAGTAACATTATTCTGAAAAAAGTACAAGACAACAGGCATTAGTTAACAAAAGGTTTTTTTCCAAATACGCACCAGAAGCCATCACCCCAAATGCAGCTTCCACAGACTAGTGAGGTCACGGTGAATGCATTTACATTGCACATGCACACAGTTTGAACATGTTAACATGGCAGGAACAACCCTATTTATCGCATTCTGAGTTTGGAGTATCGGAATTCTGAGGAAGGGTCACCGGATCTGAAATGTTAACTCTGATTTTTTCTTCACAGATGCTGCCAGACCTGCTGAGCTTTTCCAGCAACTTTGTTTTTGTTCCTGATTTACAGCATCTGCAGTTCTTATGGTTCCTATTATCGCACCTTGGATCTCAATCTTAGATTAAATTGTTGTCATTTGCATCTCCTCCAGAACCATCGTTTGTTTATTTACTTGACCCACTCCCACCTCATTTTGCTATCATCCCTTTTGTCATTTAACTACCCACCCTATCATAGACCTTGCCTTTTGTCCCTTCCTTCCTTTCCCCACTCCTCTACCTTTGTGCCTGCTTATCATGTCATATGCACAAAATGGTCTGACTGTGACAAAAGGACACACAGTCGAAACTAAAACAGAAATTGCTGGAGAAACTCAGCAAGTCTGGGAGCATCAATGGGAAGAAAGCAGAATTAACATTTTGAATCTGGTGATCCTTCATCATGACCTGTTATTTGCTGGCAAAACTGATATTTATGCTGAAACTGATGTGGGGGTGGGTGGAGAAGAGGTGAACAGATATGTGGAGACAGAGCCCAGATAGAGTGAGAGATATAAGGGGTAGATTAACAATGAGATAATAGATAGCAGGCCAGGACAGAAGAAAACCCAAATAAGAGATCATAAGTCCTGGACTTCCCACATAGATGCGATGGTCAAGAACGCACAACAATGCCTCTTCTTCCTCAGGCAGCTTAGGAAATTTGGCATGTCCATAATGACCCTTATCAACTTTTACAGATGCACCATAGAAAGCATACTGTCCAGGTTCATAGCAGCCTGGTATAGCAACTACTCTGCCCAGACCATCATGGCAACCAAACTTCCATCCATGGACTCCATTTACATTTCTCGCTGGGGTGGAAAGGCTACCAACATCATCAAAGACCCCTTCCACCCCAGTAATGCTCTCCTACAACCTCTTACATCAGGCAGAAGATACAGAAGCTTGAACACATGCACAAACAGGTTCAAGAACCGCTTCTTCCCTGCTGTTATTAGACTGATGAATGAATTACTTCAAATAATGTTGATCTTGGTAATATTGATCTTGCTTCGCAAACCTCCTGTGCGATGTAACCTGTATGCCTCACTCTGTTTAAGCATCCTGTAATCTGTATCTTCTTGTTTACAATGTTCTGCCTGTACTGCTTACAAACAAAGCTTTTCACTGTACGTAGGTACACGTGACTACAATAAATCAAATCAAGAGCTAAGAGTGAGAAAATGGGTTAGCTTTGTTGAATGCAACCCATATAATGTGATAATGGTACTATGAGAATGTGAGAATGGGCGATTGTAGTAAAAGCACCCACGTCATTAACAGGACTGGGTGTGGGGTGGGTAAAAACATAGAAGAATGAAATCAGACTCTAAAGTTATTGAACTCGATGTTGAGTCCTAGAGGCTGCAGGATCCAGACGTGTAAAATGAGGTGTTGTTCTTTGAGCTTGTGCTGAGGTTTGCTGAAACATTGCCCATGACTTCAACAAAAATGTTGGCCAAGGAACACAATGGTGTGTTGAAGTGCCAGACGACTAGAAACTTGGAGTCATTTTTTGCAAACAGTGCTGTTCATCTTCTCTCCCACCTATCCGCCCCTCCCACATCACTGATCAATCCCCACCACAGAAAAATTAAGGCGACTGATGTTACGTTGACAGTTCTTGATGAACAGAATGCAGATAAAAGACCAGAGGGAGAGGTCCAAATAGAGGGAGAGTGTTGGAGGTGAGTGAAGGTGTTTGTGAGATGGACAGAGTACTCCTGTCCAAAGAAATGGGCACAAAAGTGATAGAAAAAGAGTTCAACATCACATTGTGCCCAAAATTCATTGAAGTAGGGGTGCAGAGGGATAAAACTAAGATCTTTGCCTAGTAAAGAATGTTCAACATCAGAGACTGGAAGGTCAGAAGGAATGGTAAATACTCAACAAGTTGGTGGAATCAGGAGAAAGGATGGAGTAAGAGGGAAGGGAAGGGGTATGGGTATCTCGGAGTTGTTCTAGCATGTGTTCCTTGATGTCTGATAGGAAGAGAAAAAGTTTCTTGTTAGAACTTCAAACTGTTGAAATTGGGAGGAGGGCAGCATAGCTCTGAGACAGCATGAGGCAGTGCTGATGGACAGAACAAGGTTGAGAGTGTGCAATATGGCAGCGCATGGCACTGAGTGTGGATCTCAGGATGCGGCGAAAACAGCTGTTTGAGGAATATTGTATGTTATGGAGATTCTTGTGATCCTAGGTGGATTCAAAACACTAAAGATGAAACCAGAGTTTCACTGCACATGAAAATGTTAACTTTGCTTTCTCTCCACAGTTCTTTGTTTCATTACAAAGTTGCAACATTCACTGTTTCTCACTCCTCAGCTTTTATCTAACCAGCCGAATATTTCCAGCATTTTGTGTATAAATCTCCATTTCTCAGCATTCACATTATTTTGTCTTTTGTATCTGAGAAATGAGTATTTGAAGCATATTTGAGTTACAAAAACAAAAAATATTCATGATGAAAATAATGCTTTTACGTGAACCTGATGTGACTTGCATGGAAATCTATTGATATGTTTCAGAATTTGCCTATCTGCAGGGATGTAGCTCATCCAATAAAATCAGAGAACTTGGTCTCAGGATGCCAAGATTTCAGACCAAGGGATCACCAGGCATACAGAATGTTGTATTTAACCATTAAAAGCCTGTGAAGGGCTCTTGTGGTACAGTGGTGTGTCCCTACCCTGGACGGAGTGGCCTGGGTTCAAGTCCCACTTGTTCCAGAGGTGTAATAACATCTCTGAACAGGTTGATTAGAAAACTGGGTTAAATAAAAGAAAATTTTTAAAACATTAAAAGCATTGAACTGCCTGCTTTGGAACACCATCACCATGCATTGCAGAGCAATCCCATTGAAACAATGGATAAAGTGTAATGTTAGACCCTTAACCGAGAATCGCCCCAGATGCTAATGAAAACCCAATGACAAGTTGTGGTTGTACACGTTCTCATTTGTAATATGGTTTCCAGAGATTGATTGGCCAAGCAGCTCTCGGGTTCATTTGAAATCGTGCCATTTTTATTGTCTTTGCAATAGGTTCCCTCAATGGATAATTCAATTACAACAGTTAGAGTAGACTTTCAAGTTGCCCGAAAACCATTCACTTAGTATTGAAATTGAGCACTTACAATAAGAATATTTCTTCTATAAATAGTTGGAGTCTACTTCAATGAAACAGATTCCTCCTAGACTTGACCCCAAAGTCGCAGTTTTTCTGCACGGCATTACCTGCACAAGATCTGAAATAGCATTTTTAGCTCCTTGTAAATCGCACCTTGCATAATTCACATAAAATTATCCTAACACCTACCTTGTCTGTTGTAAATACATACAACAAATACCAAGCAACCTCAGCAACTGTACAAAAAGATGGAAATTGGGAAAACATAAAATGGGTATGCATAATTAGACATTAAAGAATCAAATAAATAAATAGGATAACAACGTGGTATTATCTTTGCTAAGTAATTGACCAAATATAAAACTATTCTGCAGTGTAAAACCTGTACTGCAAAATAAAGAGCTGCATTTATGTTTGTCCCTAAGTATTGGTTTATACTATGGATAAAATAGGATTGAATAGATTGTAATAAATTCTCTCATACTTACAAAAACCTAATGTTAAAATAAAATCTTGTATACTTAAGATATTAAATTGGAGTAGGCCTAAAGAGTTAATTGTGATCACTATTCTGAATGTACCTTGTATTTATTTCTGTAGGTTGGTGCTGTTGTTGCAGAGTTTCACACACTATGTTGATCTTCTTACAAAGGAGCAGTGTATCCCTTCCTCTAAGGCAGTAGGTCCATCCATGTCTGTTGGCTTGGTAGTGAAGAAATACTGGAACAGCATGCTCAAACTGGGGAACGTCCACCAACAGGTAGGATTTCTTCAATTTAGTCTAATATTCATTTTCACAATATTTGTAAAACTCCACTGCTTTTAATTTCTTGCCTGAAATCGTAGTACTGAAAGTTAAACAGAGGGTCGCAAAAAGAAAATGTAATTTAAATGCTTTGCAATGTGACTTTTTAAAATATGTTAAATCATTATTCCCTCGCCCTTCAGACCATAATTAAAAGTGGTCCCATTCGGTAGACAAAGTATAAAGCTATCAGTCAATAACAAGGAAGGATCAAAAAACGTGCTGACTAAATTAATCAATTTTTCCAGATCCAGCAAACTGTAATGACCACAAAATATACCAACCAGACTGCTCAGATTTCTTAAAGCTGTATATAGCTACCATCTTCCTTCTTTGTTTGAATTAATGTATGAAACTAAAAGTAAAAATTATATCAAACATATTTTAAAATAGGCACAATTCTGAAAAGAGGTTGTTTAGTGTCAGAAATGCTTGCAGAAACTCCTGACAGCCTCCCATTTATCAGTTTAGGTGTAGGAAATTTCTGGTGTTATTAATAAGTTGTGTGTAAAAGAATAAAGACTAGCATTTATACAGTACCTTTCACAACCTCAGGACATTTGAAAGCAATATAGCAAAACATAACAGTCAGTTTGTGTATGTGAAGTTGGTTAAGAGATAAATATTGATCAAATAGTGCCGAGTGTTAATCTGGTCAATATTCATCTAGTAAAGCAGGAGGTAGAAGCTGGTCTGTCTTCCATATCAGTCTATTCAAACTCCTCAGTCCAACATAAACATTGAACACATTCAGAATCAATCTCTGAATGAATTGCCTGGGAAATTGAAAATTCCAGTAGGCAATTTCTTGCACCTGGAACCCTCTGAGAAAACTCCTAAATGTAACAGTCAGGACATGTTAAAAGATTAAAAATGTTCTGTAACTCCTAAGTAAACTATTAAACTGAATCTCTGACTATCCACTGGACTCCCAACTTTACTCGCCATGACCCCTGACATCCCCCACCATATCCAACAACTTCCGTCTCTCCTGCGATCCAACCCTACTCTACACTGACTGATCCAACCTGACTCACCCCCAGCTCCAACGCAATTATCCCCACTGACTTGGTATCTTTTCCTTCCCCTACCCGGACTACCCCCATATGCCTGAAGCACTCATCCACATTCTTGGCATCTAACCCACCTCACCCACTTAATATAAAAATACTTCACCTTCCTGGCACCAACTTGTCATAATCCTGCCATTTCTCCCCCACTCAGGCTATACCCCTCTCTTGCCTTACAAACTTGCCCTTTCACCGTAGCTTTCAAAGTTTCTGCTGGACAACTTCAATATACTACACTTACTGCTGTAAAAGGGGCTGTTGTTTCCACACTGATTCTCTCCATTGTTGGGTTCAGTGATTCCTGGATAGGTTTCTAAAAAGGAGGCCCTTTTCCAGGAATCTCCAGAGCAAAAGTCATCAAAAGAAAAGTGGGTATTTTGTGATCTGGTCAGGTTTCAAAAATGGGATATGACCTGGATCAGAATTTCTGGACCAATCTCTTCTCTTTCACACACTTTGTAAAGTGTACATTATTCTAAAGAGAATGATTATCTATCAACATTCAGTAGGTATTCCTCCTTTAGCCTCTGCTTAATATAGTAGTTTTTTTTAATATCTGTGAAAAAATGCCATGTCAACTTCCTAAAAAGTGCAACAGTTTCAGCAGCAGAGTACTTTCTATTGGTCTCATTTTCTTGGTTTCCCAAGCCAAGGGGCAAAATTTCCATTTTCTCCAATAAGAAATATCTTGAAATTACTGAGCTTGAAAACACACCACAAATGTTTGCGTAAGAAGCATCAATAAAAACAATTATTTTTATATAGTATAGATTGTATTGTATTTATACAATATTTATTGCATAAATCATCAAAAGATGGCAATTTCAGTTCACGTTTCTTCATTTTTAAAAATATTTCATTTACTGGTAGAAAGTCATTGACCTTTGGCCTTTTCATTATAGTACTTAGTTCTGAGATATCAAATCTTGCATCAGATTTGTTTGTGTCCAGTCAATTCAGTTGTCCAATTAGACTTTGTAGCTGGTCCTTTTCAGCTTTGAAATCAGCTGCATATTTTTGCGAGGAACTGACACAATTCTCTGTGAAAGGGTTAACATACTCTAAGTAGAATTTTTGATGTATTGTAACAGCTGACTCTCTCTAAGCCTCATTTCCAACACAATATATGTAAAAGCCTGAGAAGCCTGACTGTGATTCTTAAATCCTGTTCTAATCCTAAAAATAATTTCTTTTCAAATCAGCTAGTACTACTTAATAAAAGATCATTCCCATGCAGCATAAAGATACCTGAAGGTTTTCCATCATGGTGCTAATAAAACAAAACAAGATCTTATTTCGGTTAGATGTAATTTTAACAAAACAGACCTTCCTCCAACTGAAAAGTATCATACCGTGGAATCATCTGACAAACCTTAGACACACTTAATTTCTGAAGTTTCCTTCTATGTATTTGCTTCCTTTGGAGATTGGGGAAACACTTCCTTCTGAAGGCGATCTCCTACAGAAAAGCAATTTATATCAATCAATTTAGACTCTTGTGAAAAAGTAGCTAAATAAAATTTCAAAATAAGCTTTGCTGCCTTGGGAATTCTTGCTTTGACCTCTTTATTTTTTACGCTTTCTTCAAAACCCCTTGCTATTAACCCAGAAGACATCACATTGGACTCAAAACATTAACTCTGTTTCTCACTTTACAGATGCTGTCAGACCTGGTGAGTTTCTCCAGCATTTTATGTGTTTGCTACAATCTTAGCTTTGACTTTAATTAGTTCCTGTCTGGTAGGACCTTTTCTGTGCAGATCCAGCTGTTAGATAAAACCGATTGACCGCTATCTGGAACTTCTAAACACACATCACATTATCTCCAACTTTCAACTCTTTGTGTATAGCATTATCTTCTAATTTGTTGACAGCTACAAACACCTCTTGGTGAAGGGTACTTCTGCTTCTACTTTTGGAAAGGTCCAGCAATTCCATTCTACTGTGTTGTTGAGTGAGACTGTGACCTTTGCTTAGCCATTGAAGACCTTCAGGGCTATGACTGTTCAGATGCTGTGTGAAGCCTAATCTGATATTCTTTACCCATACACGAGTATTTCCTCAGCTGGAATTCATCTCCTGAGTCATTACTGGAGTTTGATCTATACTTTCTTATATACCATTCTTGTAATCCATTCTACCAGTCCATTGCCCCTTGTCTGTCTTCCTCGATATTAAAGCCATTTTTGCATTTTCCAGTAGATTTTCCTGTTTATTCAATATTGTGGCATCCCACTAGTTAATCCCACTAATCTTTTTGAGCAATTAGATCACCTGGGAACCAACTTTCTGTAGTTTGTTTCTGGATAAATTAGCTCTTTCTTGTTGAATATCTCTACTGGCATCTAGCCCTTGATATATCATATGTTGTCCCTCTGGCTCTGGCCCACAAAATACATAAGCATGCAACGCATAAAGTACCTTGTCATCTTCTATCACCTTTCTAGTATCTAAAAATTTGCAGTTTATTTCAATCACTGGTGAGGAATTGGCTTTCATTGTTTGATTCCCATCTAGTATAATGACAATTTTCCCACTGAGTTCTATAACTTTGCTTTCTACTCACCTCACTTTTTGTAAAATCTAGATCACAAGAAACAAAGTATCACAAATGGTCTAATGAGAGCTTTTCACAAAGCTCTCTGAATTCCTTCCGAATATTTTTTCTATATATTTTATCAATTGGTACAGACTATATTCTCCTAACCATTTGCAAAGAGTTTTTATGATGCACTGCTTATGCCAAAGCTATTTATAATTTGCAATTCATTTGGTCACTTAGGATACTTAAGAGGGAAATAGGAAGGCAAAGAGAGGATATGAATACACTTGGCAGATAAGATTAAGAATAATCCAAAGAGATTCTACAAGTACATTAAGAGCAAGAGAGAACTAGGGAGAGAGTAGGCCCCTTGAAGATCAAAGAAAATCATTGTGTTGAACCTCAGGAGATGGGAGAGATTTTAAATGAATATTTTGTGTCAGCTTTTACAGTGGAGAAAGAAATGGAGGCTAGACAACTCAGGGAAATAAATATTGATATTTTGAAAACAGATCACATTACAGGAGAGGAAGTGCTGGAGGTCTTAAAAAATATGAAGGTGGATAAATCTGTGGAACCTGATCTAGTGTATCCTGCGACTTTGTGGGAAGTTAGGGAGGAGATTGCAGGGCCCTTTGCAGAAAAATTGTATCATCTATAACTACAGGTGAGGTGCTGGTTAACTGGAGAGTGGCTAATGTAGTGCTTTTGTTTAAGAAAGGATGTAAGGAGAAACCTGGAAACAATATACTTGTGGACTTTGGTGGTGGGTAACTTGTTGGAAGCGCATCTGAAAGACAGAATTTATATGCTTTTGGAGAGGCAGGAATGATTAGGGATAGTCAGTGTGGCTTTGTGCAAGGGAAATTGTGTCTCACAAACTTGATTGAGTTTTTTCAGGAAGTAACCAAGAAGACTAGTGAGGGCAGAGCAGTTGACATTGTATATTTGGACATTAGTAAAGCCTTTGACAAGGTTCTGCATGGTAGACTGATTAGCAAAATTAGATCACGTGGGATTCAGGGTGAGCTTGCCAATTGAATACAAAATTGGCTAACAGCTGGAGACAGAGAGTGATGGTGGAGGATTGTTTTTTGGACTGGAGACCTGTGACCAGTAGTGTTCCACAGGGATTGATGCTGGGTCCACTTTTGTTTGTCATTTATATTAATAATTTAGATGAGAATATAGAAGGCATAGTTAGTAGGTTTGCGAATAACATAAAATTGGTTTTATAGTGGACAGTGAAAAAGGTTATTTAAGATTTCAGAGAGATCTTGATCAATTGGGTCTATGGGCTAAAGAGTGAAAGATGGAGTTTAATTTGGATAAATGCGAGGTAT